AATTGTTGAAATTGAAGCCAATATTTATATTTTTATGCTTTGCTACTCTCAGCGGTATTTTAGATAGCTTCTTGATTTATTTTTTGTTTTGGTAAAAAAAAAAAAAAAAAAAAAAAAAAAGAAAGAAAAAATAAAAACAATTGGTCCTATTTTATAAGATATGAATAATTACAAATGAAATATTTGTTTTAAATAGGTACTTGGAGGATCTTTCAAAAGTTACAGGGCATATGGATAAAATTAAATTAATAGAAGGACTGATAGTAGCGGCTGAAACTTTAGGCGGCGAAGTAATATTCTTTTCATTTTCTGGTATTGAATTATTTGTTACTATTTTTTTCTTTTTAACAAACAAATGTTATAAAACCTAGTTCCATGCATAGACTTTTAATAGAATGAATTTTAACTACGTGAATCATATTTATTTTGTAGGTAAAATTTTGAAAAAAATTGGATATGGATACAGTTTTGCATTTTGCTTATTATGTTATTCCATAAGATTTTCATTAATATCTTTGGCATCAACACCATGGTGGGTAGTACTTATCGAACTCTTTATGCAAGGTCCAACTTATGCACTTTGTTATACAACTATAGTTGCATATGCAAGTGCTGTATCACCACCAGGAACATCTGCTACAGTTCAAGGAATTGTTGCTGGAATGGACGATGGTTTAGGTATTATTTATTGTGTAACGTAAATATTTTTCATCTCTCTAATACAAATTGGAAAATTCAATTATATTGCAATTAATTTAACAGGTTACGCTATTGGTAGTTTAATCGGCGGAATATTATACAAAGAAGTGGGAGGTGTAATAACTTTACGAATATTTGCTACAGTTGCGGTGTTTTCTTCGTTGATCTATGTAATTTTACATATTACTTATTTGAAACACACAACGCCAGGTAATAATGATATAAATAATTATTTGAATTAAAGTATTTGCTAAATAAGATATGTTGTAAATATATATATTTATATATCATTATATATAATATAATAATATATATAATATACTATATAATATATCTTCATCTTAATATATATACTATATTATATATAGTATTATACTATTAATATATATATATATATATATATATTTGTAAATAAGATATAATTAAAGTTATATGTTGTTTTTATTGTAGATACTAGACGAAATGTTGAATGGAAGTCACCTGAACAGGCAAATATGGAATTTAGTGTTGCCGAAAGATAATATAATAAACGAATTATAGACAGAGGTATATCAAGATATATATTAATAATAATCAAGATTATTATTTGCAATAAAATAGAGATAATATATAAGAATGTATTATTGTTAAATATTATTATTTTTATATATATATATAAAGAGAAGATAACGACATTTATCGAGAACAAAACTAAAATTAACATCACATTATTTTATAATTAATCTTCACAATATCTTTATACTCATTATTATATACTCATTATTGTGTTATTAATAATACAATAGAATTACGAACAAATATATTATATATATATATACATATATACATCACATGTATACAAAAAATGAATAAATACGTTGATTGGACTAGTTTCATAATGTTCATCGTGAAATAAATTCTAGTAATGGAAAAAAAAAAAAAAAAGACAAATAATATATTGAAACTATATGAAATAACGTTAAATATATTTCAAATGATCGTTAAAATGTCATAGTTCGAAAATCTTAATAATCAATCGGTGCATGTAAAAAGATATATTTATTAAGCACGTTCATACGTATCCTATACGGCAAGAGACGAGTGATCACGTGACAAAAATGACAAGTGTTTGGCGCTTGGACAGTTTACCGTCCGACGTTCTGATCTTAATTTTTAATTATTGCCATGCCTTTGATTTGGTACGACTCAGTGAAGTTTGTATACGATTTTATTTCCTTATACGCGAAGATACTTTATGGAAAAGAAGGAGTAATCAAGCACTCGTGACAAATCAAGTCTCGGAACTATTTCGTGAAAGGTTGGTAGGTTAATCATTCCAATTTTTTTTTTCTTCTATTATTGTAATCAAAATTATGACGTATTTATATAAATACATATTTGTATTATATATCCAATTATATTGTTCTTTTATATTATATTATATTTATTTATTTATCTTTTGTATATACAGATGCAATCCATTATTATGCCTACGTACAAGATGGCATGTATCCAACAACTGGAAGTATGGGAAGTTCAAGAAAAAATGTATTTTTTCACAAAAGGCAAAGCTAATGCCATGGATACAATTGACTGCGGATACATTATGGTGGTCTGGAGGTGATAGACTTTGTGGTTTTAAAAGAGATGAACACCGTAATGGAACCGTACTTGTTTTTAATGAGAAAGATATTGGAAGCGATATTTGCAAATTTGTTACCAAAGACGATTATATTTTAACTGGACATAGGTCAAGATTTGGGATAAGTTTATTTCATTGTTTATAATGAAATATTATCGTTGTTATTATATTTTTCTTCTTCTTCTTCTTCTTATTATTATTATTATTACAGAAATGGTAGTTTGAAATTTTGGACTAAGGCAAAACGAGGTGACGACCATATTTGCTTCAGTATAGATAGAGCACACTCAACCGATGTAAATGATGTAGATAAAATTGGTTCAATTTTTATATCTGGTTCTGGAGATGGATTAGTAAAAGTAAGCGTTTAAAAACTATGTTTTTTATGAAAGGAAAACTAAATTAGAAGGTCATACACATATTCAGGTTTGGAAATTATCCAGTAAAAGATTCGCAGATCCACCTATGGCAAGTATAAACGTGAGAGATAGGATATGGTCTGTCAAAGCTGACCCATCAGGATTAAAATTTGCCGTAGGTTCGTCTGGAAATGGTGAAGGAACACCTTTAAACATATTTGATATGGAATGGTAAATATATGTTTACAATTTGTACAATCAAACTAATTTATAATGGATATCGTTATTTTATTATTAACACATTCGTGGTTGGCATATTTTCTTTTCGTTTTTTATACTAAGTACCGGCAAAAATAATGAAATTTTGAAAAAAAAACAAAAAACAATAATTTTTACATATATTCTATATATAAATATATATAAATGTGAGTTTAAATTATTTAAATTTATATTTAACATAATAAAATATAATGATTTGAATATTATATTTAAATATTATATATATGTATTAAAATAATATAATAATATATAATATATAATATTTAATTATTACATTTAAGTAATTAAATATAAATTTAATATATAACATTTTTATAAATATATAAATATAAATGTTTTTAGTTTTATATTATATTTATATATATAAAATACTAATAAAGTAATAATAAAATAATAATAATAATTGTAAAATAATTTAACTTTTTTAATTTATATATATAATATATATATAATATATAAATTTATAAAATGTAAAATGACGTGTATTAACATCAATGATCGCGAATGTGTTAATTTGAATAATATAACAACGGAGAAGTAATTCTTTAATAATCTTTCGAAATATTTCAATATTATTTTACATTTATACAAATGTTCATCTGTTGTATGCAAATAATGATTGAATTCGTCTCATCAAAGTATATTTTTTTTAGTTGCAGTATATCAAATGTATTAATGGTCAATTGGAGACGAGGAGCAGGAATATTAGACATGGTTTGGGACAATGAAAATACTCTTCTTACATGTGGATATGATACTTATATAAGAAAATGGGATTTAAGGTAAATATCATATATATATATA